GGAAAACAAGCTGCTGAAAATAATTTCCTTACCCTTACGAGGAAATTTGAAGGCGAGGTTAAGGAGACCGACTGATTCACGTCTTTGGTCGTGAAACAAGCAATTGAGGCCGAGGCTGAATTACAAGTGGAGGAGCGGCAGAATCGGTTAAACCTTTATTGAAGGAATTTAGCGAATTGATGCACGAAGAGATTCCGGATGGGTTGCCGCCTATGCGCGATATTCACACCATATAGACTTAATTCTGGTACTAGTCGCCTAATTTACCGCACTATAGGATGAGTCCAAAAGAGAGCGAGATTCTAAAAGAGAAGGTGGAGGAGTTGTTGCGAAAGGGACACATTCAGAATAGCATGAGCCCATGTGGTGTTCCGGCCTCGTTGACTCCTAAGAAAGATGGGAGTTGGCGGATGTGTGTAGATAGCAGGGCCATTAATAAGATAATCGTGGGTTACAAGTTTCCAATTCCGAGATTGGATGACATCTTTGGATAGGTTGCACTTGTGCTAAGTGGTTCTCGAAGTGGATTTGAAAAATGGATACCATCATATTCGGATTCGACCCGGAGATAAGTGGAAGACAGCTTTCAAAACAAAGGAGGGGTTGTACGAATGGTTGGTGATGCCTTTCGGACTTTCCAATGCTCCAAGCACTTTCATGAGGCTTATGAATCGGGTTTGAAATCTTTTATTGGCAAATTTGTTGTAGTTTATTTTGATGATATCTGATTTATAGTAAGACCGAGGAGGATCATCGATGCATTTAAGGGAGGTGTTGATGACCTTCTGATTAATAAGCTGTATATTAATCTTAAGAAGTGCAGCTTTTTTAACTAATAAGCTGTTATTCTTGGGGTTTATTATTCTTTTTGAAGGAATAGAGGTAGATGAGGCGAAGGTAAGAGCAATCGGAGAGTGGCCGACTCCTCAAACGGTTTCGATGTTAGGAGTTTTCATGGGTTAGCTACTTTTTATCGGCGATTTATTAAGAATTTGAGTACTATCGCGCCCCAATTCTTGAATGTATGAAGAAAGGAAAATTTCTATGGGGAGAGGAAAGGCGAGAATAGTTTTGCTATTTTGAAGGAGAAGTTATGTCTTACTTTGTTCTTGCTTTACACGATTTTGATAAAGCTGTTTGAAGTTTTGTGATGCTAGTGGAGTGGGTATAGGAGTGTTTTATCTCAAGAGCGCGAGACCAGGTTGCTATTTTAGTGAGAAGCTCGGTGACACAAGGCGAAGTGGAGCACTTATGATAAAGAATTCTATTATGTCGTAAGGGCTTTGAAGACACAGGAGCATTATCGATTGGGAAAGAATTCGTCCTTTATCTTGATCATGAAGCTTTGAAGTATCGAATAGTCGAAGAGGATTAGCAAAGATATGCATGCGCGATGGTGTCAATTCTTGCAAAAATTTCCTTTGATTCTGACACAAGTTAGGTGTACATAATGTCGTAGCGGATGCATTGAGTAGGAGAGGCTGGCTTGTTGATTACATTAAGCCAAGACATCTTGGGGTTTGAGCGAGTTGAAAGAGTTATGCGGATGATGATGACTTTGGAAAAATTTGGGAGTCATGTCTTTTGGTCAACTTTGTACAAGAATTTTATGTGCGGGATGGCTATTTGATGCGTAGCAACCAGCTTTGCCTTCCTCGAACATCATTACGAGAGAAGGTAATTCGCGATTTACATGATAGTGGATTAGGCACATCTAGGTCGTGATAAAACTATTGCTTTGCGGTTCGGGAGCGATTTTCTGGCCCAATTGCGTAGAGATGTCGGTAGGTACGTACAAAAGTGTTATGTTTGCCAGGCGCTAGGGTCAATCTAAGAATACATGCAGTATATGCCTTTACTGTTCCTAACAATATATGGGAAAGATCTTGTCCATGGATTTTGTGCTTGGTTTACTACCGACACAAAGAGGCGTGGATTCTGTTTTCGTTGTGGTTGACAGATTTTCCAAGATGGCGCACTTCATTCCTTGTAGGAAAACTTCTCATGCGTAAGTGTGACAGATTATTCTTTAAGGAAGTGGTTCGTTTGCATGGTGTGCCCAAGTCTATTACCTCGAGATAGGGATAGTAAATTTCTAGGGCATTTTTGGCGGACTTTATGGCATGTTTGATTCATCTTTGAATTTAGTATGCACACTCACCGCATGGTGATGGGCAAACGAGAGGTGGTTAATAGAACTCAGGAAACTTGATTCGAATCATTTGTGGAGATAAGCCGAGGCAATGGGATGTTGCTTTATCACAAGCGAGTTTGCTTATAATAATGCGGTTCATAGTTCTATTGGCGGTCGCCTTTTTTACATTGTTTATACAAGGCGCCTCGATACTCTGGATTTGGTACGGTTGCCTAAGCAAGCGGATAAAAGTGTAAAGCGGATCATATGGCTAAACAGATTGTGGAGGTGCATCGTGAAGTCAAAGTTTGGAGGAAGCTAATCGAAGTATAAAGGCTGACGAGATAAGCTGGCGGAAGCAGGTGTTTGCGATAGGTGATCAAGTCATGGTTTTCTTCGAAAAGCGATTACCCAGTGGATCTTACGGTAAATTACAGCCAAAGAAGTATGGACCTTTTGTTTGTCGGCAAGAAAATCAACGATAATGCTTATGTTATAGACCTTCCACATAGCATGGGCATATCCAACACTTTTAATGTTTTGATTTGTCACCATTTCATGAGTCCACAGAGCCGTTTTATCCGGATCCCGATTTTAACTCGAGGACGAGTTCTTTTCAAGTGGAGGAGAATGATGCGGAATCTATTAGTGGTGCGTTTTTGGACCGATTGGACGAGGCGAAGTCCAAACGGAAGGCGAAACTTGATGATGTGACTAGAACCAGGTGGACCGATCGACGACATCGGATATTTTTATGAGTTAATTTAAAAATGCAGTTTTCTAATTTTGATGTTTTACGCTTTCCAATTCAGATTAGGTAACTTTCCTATTATGATTAGGTTTCCAATTTAGATTAGGTAAGCTGTCCTATTATGATTAGGTTTCCTATTGTAATTAGGTTTAACTCCTATAAAAGGGTGTTTAGGGTTGTTTGAAGACGAACATTCTTATCATCAATATTGAATTTCGAGATTTTTCTCTCTAAGCAAGATTTTGCTTGAATTATTAGCGCAAGCCTGCGTCAAAACCTTCGACGGTGATGTATCAACCCTCTGACCTTTTCTCACCACTTCTTATATCCATAAGGCAGTTTCTATACTTCCAAAGAAGCCCAGCATCAGGGGAATTGATAGAGATATATCAAGAAGATAATCTCATTCATCCTCGCATGCGTGCCAAAGAAGCCTCATGCTTTGCAGCTGGTGCTTTGCCTAGTTCAGTGTCAGATTGTCACATTAGATGAGTTGTGGTGGCCAATACTTGTCCTTCGTGGTTTCGAGCTATAGCGGCAACAGCACAAAAGCCTCTATGGATGGTTGCATCAAAATTGATTTTTGTTGAACCCACAGGAGGTTGTTTGATTACGCTTTGTGGATTCTAGAGGCGCGGATTCTAGCAAAGGTATCGACAAAAGCTGGAGAAGAGATGTAATCACAAAAACAGTTAAATTTGTCAACTGTGTCAAATGAAGGGCATGCATTCTCAAAAACCTCATTGCCGAACAAGATGATTTACCTGTAGGATGAATGCTGATATTCATCAGAACTCCCAGAGGATTGATGTAGACATCGACTGGATCATCCTCCAAAAACAACTCTCTTAAGAACCGCATTGGTCATACCGACTTCTATGCTTGGAGAGCGCGTCCTTTGGCATCTGAAAAGGCAAAGGGATTCTTGGGGGAGAAAAAGATCGAGTCCATGCAGCCTGTGAAGCTCAAAGCTTTGAACAAGACTCCATTGCCGGGCACGACTACAATGTTCACATTGGCCATGAGGCTGAGAACCTTCAGAGAATTTATCAGTGGTAGGGCATTGCGAAAATTGAATCCCACCATTGCTGCGAGAGCGAGTAAGCGAAAGTGAGAGAGAAGATGGCAAAATGAAGCGTGTTCTGATGCTGTTTAAGATTTTTATGTCTAAATTTTTTTTGAAAAGGTTTGTCTGTCAACTTTAAACACTGATTACTTTGTCTGTCTGTCTTTGGTTCTCTTTATTTTTCTACTTTTGAGTGTTCGGGCACCAGTTGCTTATGGCAATTGGCAATCCTGTGCACACTGCATATCTATCGGAGAAATACTGGTCCGTGCTTCTGCGGGGCGGCCCAAAACAATATGCATTTGTTGTGAGTCAGACCGGGCACAAACACACTCATTACTTAAGCAAATGCCGGGCTTTGATAGCAATGAAGGTAGTCATCATAGGGAAATGATGCAAAAGAGAAATAATTCTAATAAGTGGTTCCCTATCACCGGATGAGCGTCATCCAAAACTATGATCTCTCTTTTTTAAGATCACTGAACTAGAATCTGCACTAAATGTTTTAGAAACTTTACCAAATATTTCAGACCGGTTCAGGTGGGTGATTCAATTGAATACTGGATATACAGTTCGACTTTCGTAAGCTTTGTGTATGATCTCATCTAAACATTTTTATCGATTCAGACTTGAGATCCGCTAAATCCAATGATCCAATAAGTATTCAGTGGAAGTCAGTTCGTGTGCAGACAACAGTAGCCAAAATCTGAAACTTAGCTTGTTAATTAGATGAAGTGCCCTCATTTTCCTTATACGAGTTAACACTGAAGTGAAGTCTCAAATCTGTGTTAAAGCGAATTGCATTTCAGGTAGAACAAAAGTACAGGGACTACATTTGCCATTAAATCATCAGTTTGCATTAGAAACACAAAATTGCCTAAAAAGTAAGGAAGAAAGAAACTTGAAAACTTATACAGCCACCAAATTTTTGTGCAACATATAATTCAGATCATTTAAACGAATCAATGTGTAACTTTTAGAACTCATAGTACATATCAAGAACGAAGCAGATATCAGAGATCAAATGGTATATCTTCCTGTTCATGACGGACAAAAAAACAGCAACATGTTATATCAGGTCATCAGACTTCAAAAACGTCAATTGGTAAATGCAAGAAAAAAGAATAGTGATAACATGCATACAGTTTGTGAAAAACTACAATCAAAGTACATAATGTTGGCTCTTGAAGATGATGGCATCGAAATAAGGTCTGAGTTGGGAGATGAGATGTTATAGTTAAGATTGATCCTCCTCTGGCTTATCATCTGGCTCCAGCTTTGGCTCAGCAGGTGTGGGCTCAGGCGCGGGCTCAGGCGGGGGCGATGTGGGCGCAGAGGACATGTTCCGCTTGTGTGCAGCAGCCTCTAGGACGTGGTTGTAGTTGCCTTTCTCCATGAAGAGGCGGGCAAAGTGGTGCTTGCAATAGAGGACTCCGTCCAGAGCAGCATAAGACGAGTGCGTCAACGGGCATCCGCCATGAGCGCATCGGAAGCAGTTCTTGTGGAAACACTCTCCCTCTAGAGTCACCTGTGTTTCGAAACAGACACATGCAATGTGTCGCGACAGTTTGATTGGAAAGAGGATGATGAGTTATTTCTAACTTCATTACGGATTTTGGAATTGGCTGGGGCTTAAGAATCGCATACCTTTTCCAAGGGGTAAACTGTCTTGCCACAGGTGGTGCATTTGTCTAGGGTTCCGGAGAACATAGAAGATAGCCTGCTCGGGGTCCGGTTCTGTGGATAGAGATGACATGAAATCATTGAGTTGGTTGACAACGCAACACAAAAGCAAAAGAAGATGAAAGATGAAATGTGGATGGAGTTGTCATTGCTGGCTGCCAGTTGGTCTCATCATTTGGAGCTACTAGGGAAGTAGAGAACAATGAGAATTGAGATTGAAACTGTTTGCGAAGCGTTATTGAAGACCCGTAAAATTTAGATGTAAATGAAGCAACCGAATCAGCGGTTATAGTTAACATACCAGGTCATGTTGCCTCTCAGAAGACTTGGCTGCCATGGTAATGATATGATATTAGCCGAAAAAATTATCTGAAAATTTAGCGGAGCCTTAAGAGAAGCTGATGATGAGGCCAAGAAGAGCTTACCAGTTTGAAAGTTCTTGCTGAAATTGCCAGATTCCTTGAAAAGTTGCTCGAAGTGAGTCTTGCAGTAGAGGATACCATCCATAGAGGAGTAGTTGCTCATCTGTCGTTGGTACCGGATTAAATGCCATCCTCGCTTTATGTTATTAGGCTTAAATGAAACACGACTCTTTGATGCATTTCAATGACACATAGTTCACCTTGATGAACACATCGCACATTTCACGGTTACATACATGTTGATGAACTTTGTCTTATAGACAGTGCACTACATTATCACAACAACCCACTTCAGAGAGAAAATTGCTGATTGCACACTAGCATTTCATATTACAATGCCTTGCTTAGATCATATTCGCATTGTTTTCTATTCTCATTTATGTATCTGAATTGTAACTAAAGCAGTTTATTCCTTAGGACGAGCCAAATTGTGTGGATTTCGATCTCTAATCATGCTTGTGTTGGGTCAATCATGCTTATCTCAGTTTTTCTAATCATATTTACCCGCTGCCATCACGGGGTGGTATGTTTGCTTTCTCAGGTTGTTATCATTCATTTTTGTTTGATTTAGTTTCCTGGTTTCATTTCACCACTTGAGCTAAGATCTACTCTACAGCATGAGGAATCGCGGGCACGATCCATAACGGGAAAAGAAAACTCCTTCTTCTTCTTCACCAGATTAGAGAATATATAAATCGTCACAATGCAAAGCAACAGAACCAACTCAAATACAACTCACATACCACAAGATATCCATGGCAATGGCTGCATCTGAAGCAGGTCTTATGGTAAGGCATGCCCTCGAGGGACAACATGTCGACCACGTAAACCGTCTTATCGCAAGCCTTGCATTTGTCCAGAGTTCCTGTAAACGCCATTCTCGTTTCTCACAAAAGCTAAAAGTCTCAAAGAGCTTTCTGAATCACCTTGACTGAGGCTGTCTCATAAGCATTAGCCCTCCAATTGGTAACCCAGAAAAAACGAGATTGAACAAAGAATATGATTTTTGTGATCAAAGCTCATTTATATCACTGCCCGACAACTGGATTTTGGCTTCTCACTTTCTCCTCCGAGGGTGTAAAAACGGATGGAGATCCCAATATTATGAGCTAAAAATGGACTTGCGTTTAAAGTGGAGGAAAAGAAGGATGATGTGTGATGTTTCCAAGCGTATCTTTGGCGTGCAATTGAAGTGCTACAGGTCTTTTGTTTGCTAATTTTGGTGTTAGGTTAGTTGTGGTGACTGAAATAGTACGACCTTTTCAGGTGACAAGGTGACAAGTAAGACCAACGATACAAGTCCAGAACGCCGAGGTGTCGAACAACACAATACGTGCGTTAATACACCTGTTCAAGACCCTTGAACCTTATTAAACATCCTGGGACCAAGTGTGGCTCAAGTTGCCATTGTGTAAAAATGCACAGAACGAGATCTAGGAGGCTGAGCGACATTTGAAGTAGTTGTTTGGGTGGACCACCAATGATGTTTTTAATAATTTGTTCACAGCAATATATTAGTGAAGGAAACAATAGTCTAAACTCAAATTACTAGCACTTGAACAATCGAAAATTAACTGGTGAGATACCCTGCAAATGATTACCAATGTAAATGCAAAATTAATGGTTAAATATATTAATAAATATCAACATAATTTTAACTTGGAGAAGAAGAATTAGAGATTACCCAAATCTAATTCAATCGAGTAGGTCTCGGGTGATTTGTGCAGATATCAGGAAAAAAAATGTAAGAGAATAAAATGATGATTTGTATCAAAGAATGTAGAAACCCATCACTGTGATCAACTTAAAAACAGTTTTCTAGGGAACAATTTTTAATAACAACACTGAGAAAAGTTTATGTAATTAGAAAATGTCCTTGAATAAAGAGATCTGCATATAATTATAGTTTCAATGGCAATTCACCATATAGGATTAGTATGATATAATTGAGCTAGTCAAACACTTGATAAAGGAGGCAACACAACTCTCTGGCACAATATGAGATCCGATACGGTCTTTCCATGGCGGTCGATCCTGCGAGAACAGTTGACACCACCATCTAGGATGTTCCGAACCACGACGTTCAATGAATGTATCCCCCTCACTTCATAAACTTCCGCACTTACGTGCTCCTCCACCCACCTGTCTCTCTTCACTATGGCATCTGAATCTGGAAATGAGGAGGCATTCAGAAGCGAAGAGACGATGCCTTTTACCCACGCCGGTGTTATGATCACCTTTAACCTCTCGATATCTGTAGGGCAATGTGGGATGATGGAGAAGTTCAAGTCATTTCCTTTGTCTCCAGCTCTACTATGCGCTATGTTGTACAACGAAATCTCCTCCCCGGCAGGCGCAGGAGAAGCATCAGATTTTGACATAAAGCCACCATCGTCATTTCCCTCTGTTGTTCGTGGATTAATTGGCCTACGAACAGCATGGTTTCTCATTGTATCATTGAGACAATTAACTCGATGATTTGAGTTTGCCATGCTGTGCTTTGCTCCAACTTTCCAATACACATGTTCACGGCCAACCTAAAAGGGCAAACCACTTCGATTAGTACTTCCTCAGTTTTTCAAGTCATTTAGCATTGGGTGAAAATTCACTTTTCCAGGAATGTTTGAAGAACTAATTTCAATCTTAGAGACTCAATGAAAGGCTCATGTGGGTGTTGGGGAGTCCAATTCCATACCAGTTCCTTTCCAAGGTAAATCTCTTTCTTGTGTCCGGTGCTGTAATAGAAGCAGACAGAACAGAGAGTGAGCATGTCGAAAAACTAAGTGGCCAAAACAACAGTCTTGCTTTTGGATTTGCAACAATTCATGCAAATAATAAGATAAGCAGTTCACAAAGCATTCTTTGCGACCTTTTCATTGTCCAGCACCTGAATTCTTGACATTCCTAGTGTTAAAAATCTTTTTCTAATTATTTCAAGGTTCCTGTCTCGGTGGAAGATTTGCCAACAGAAGTAGTCACCAATAGCAAATGCCAGGCCAAAAAAACTCTTTTAAGACTGGATGCTGAAAATTTTTGTATACTTTGTAACAGTAATCTCCAGTCCACATGATCAAACTAATTCAGCTCAGCAACAGACAAGTAATAGATAGATTTAACTAAAATAAATGCACAACTTTGTGTGATCCCCACCCGATTGACTAGACGCTAACATTTATGGCGGATATATACGCAAAGCCAACTTCAAGCATTTATAAGCATTTTATATTGTACCTTCCATCATCAATCCTCAACATCCTGGTATATCATGTTAATTGAACAACAGAACCACAAACCTACTTTCTCACAATTGTATGCTGTAGACATACTAAAGCCAGAAAGAACAAAACTGCAGACATTTTTGGCATCTGTTAAATCTTTTTCTGATAACTAGCTCAGTCGATGAAATTATCACCTCAAAAGAAGAGCTTTAAAATGTTTGCAATTGGTTAAAGTCAAGCAAAATCTTTAAGTGGAAATATTTTTTGGATTAAGCGCTGATACAACATAAAGGTGGAAAAGAAATTACCAGATACCACCGCCCCCAGCCGGTCCATTAGTGTATAATGCAGTGAACTCCCTCACAAACTGGAGTGCATGTTCCTTCAGCTCAAATAATCCATCCATTCTTAACCTTATATCTGTAACTGCCTCATAAGCAGAAGACCCAGTGACCAAGCTAGTTGCCTTCAGGCTATCCATTCCAATAATACAAGAAACAATGTGGTCATTAAGGCCAGGAATTACTTCTTCAAACCACGACCTGACCTGATAATGGAAATAAAAGGATCTTTGAGGGTAAAATGGTGAAGCCAGACACTTCACTACATCAAGAATTACTCACGTGACATTGTCTATGCAATAGTTTACTTCCCAGAGGAAAGATAATGACAGGCTGTTTGAAATGAGCACTCACATGTTTACGTTCATTAGAAAAGTAAAACTGATTAGATCTCACATACCAAAATTTCAGCAGCCTTAGCACGATTGACACATTCAAAACCACCATAGGATATCTCTCCCCATCCTTTCCACCCAGCATCCTGGCAGAACATCAGAAGTAGTGATCGTAAGAAGGCCTCAGACACTCGAACGACATCAGAGGATCAAAGACAAATTGCTTCGAAAGACGAACAAATCAACAGTTGGGAAAGTAATCAACATCTCAAGGACTCCAAGTTCAATAAATTACCCAAACATGAACATGAGAACCAATACAGTGATCCAAGACATGCTATTACACTATTGGAAATGATAAAGATACTGATTAACTCGAATCTTCTGAATGAGAGGGCAAGAATTGAATGGAAAAGGCTACTGAAATGGTAGGAGAAGCACAATCATCACGAACTCTGTTTAAATTTCAGTAAGTTCACTACCAAGATGCTGACTGAACCTTTGGAAGCAATCGCAGGAGCTGATCAGGTACTGATCTCGCAGATGGTTTTGCTCCAAGACACGTCATTTCATTGTTGGATAATGGCTGAAATGTAACATCTCGAAGATCTATTACCTGATTAAAATGAGAATAAACATTTCAACTTTTGTTTTTTCTTTTGGTCCATGATGAATGTCTACAAATCTTCAATGATGATGAAAGCCAGAACCTACCACATCAGGGGTAACATATGCTGCTGGATCACCAATCTCATAAAGAAGTTGCTGGGCACAAGTACTGAAGTTTAAAACTCCTCCACTGCTATCTGCCTTTGCTACACAGACTCCTCCATCATAACTTACTTCGGCATAAGGGAGTGACAGGTCTAAAAGGCATGGAAGAGAGATGTTGCGATATCTGTCACCTGCATCAGACAATAGTAAATTGCATGCAACATCCTAAAAATGTCATATAGGTTTTATGTTTCATAGCTTGAGTGTCCACATTAATTGGCATGCTAAACATGAAGGTTAAACAGCTAATACCTGGATGCATGAAGTATCCTCCAGTCAGTTGACAGCCGCACTCTAAAAGGTGACCAGCCAGAGATCCTTGCGCTAATAAATTTAGATCATCCCAGTTCCAACCCAATTCATACACCTATTTACAGGTTGGGATCTTTCAGATTTCTTTCCTCAAAAGGAAAAACTACAGGATGAGGAAAAGCTTATTAGACAAAATGAAGGGGTTCAGCACCCATGTGATTTTTACTATATAAAGAGGATCAGGCTGCACTCACATCTACACATTTCTTCCTTCAAAATCCCAACTTCTTCAACAGTAAATTGGTGTGACGATTTTGTCCAAACAATGGTCTCTTAATCCAAAAGAAGTGAAAAGCTGAAGTGTTTCTTAAGTGACTCAAACTCTATTTAACATCAAATTAGGTCAACGCTCTATCAATCAATTTAAGATGTCATATGGAAATCCCATTAACCCAAAGAAGTGGTAAAAGGTAGCACCAATATGGTATTTGGAGGAGTAATTGGATTCACATCAGGTTCTAGTTGTGAGAGATTCAACAATAGTCATTGCGAGGTATTTCCATAGTCAATGGGTAATTGTTCTGTTCAGAAGTTAATGCAAGTAGCGTGAGTCGTCCATAACAATGAAAGCGGGGAAGAAAAGAGTTCAGAAACTACTCGACTAAACATCAGAAGGAAAAAGACAAAGAAACACAAAACATAAAACACAGGAAAAGAACATCTCATTCACCAAAGGCGAAGATAAAAAAAATACAATGATTTCATACCATTGGACCCAAAAATAGGGCAGCATCTGCAACTCTGGAAGTAATAACTACATCTGGTTGGTAGTTCTCCAGACACTCAACAATTGGGGCAGCTCCAAGATACGTGCTAATACCCTTCAGAGAATGGGAAAGGAAGCTGAGACAATTCGACCCCATTAAAGAAAGAAAAAGGAAGATATGCCGCTGATCAACGATTTCCCTTCAGACGATCAAGAAACTAAAGCATAAAAAATTACATCATCAACATGTGTTTCTGTTTTGTCTACATTTACTTTGCTAGCGAAAAAATCCACTACATTGTCATTAAGAAACATTTATCTTCTAAAGAGTAGTAAAATCACACAAAATAATTCTGTACGATTAAAAATACCAACGAAAAAACACGATATCAATGTCAGTTGCTTACACCTTCCGCAGTATTTGATTTCTCGTGCAAGATTCTGGACCCTGCACAAGGAGAAAAAGGCAAAAACAATCTTTTGAAAGGCCACGCCTTGTTCCTTTATACTATACAACTCCATCTATGCTGTTCGCTATAATACTAAAATCACATTAAGCTTAAGTTACCCAAGACCGCCTATTTAACATCAAAACCGGATGATCCCTATTGACCTTGATTACCTGCTTCTGCGAATGAAACCTCATGAGCCACAGCAACTTTCAATTGAAGGCCTAGCCCGCTGGCCACTTCTAGCACTTTCGCTTGTGCACCAATTGGATCAACTTTCGAGAAAGACACAAAGCACAAGTATCAAATCACTTTCATCAAAGTTAAAACCAATTCGTGTGCTCTGTGCCCCTCACCTGCACCCATATTGGTGATAATGCAAGTTCCTCTTTCCACAGCCAAAGGCAACAGCAAAGCCATCCATTCCGAAACTGCATATCGTTTCGAAATTTCAAATCACCGATATTGATAACAAGTAGTACACCCCGGTCCATACCCAAGGCATCATCATACGTACATTTACAACAGCACTATAAGATAGAAACCACATCACCCAAAAGGCCAATCATGAC